CGGGACCATCTTCGTGCGAAATTCACAATTCCATATTCGTGTGTCCATCGGGTGTCAATTTCGGGACAGTGTGACAGGGGCTTTAAGCATTAGCACCTTTTTGTGCAGTATTTACAGTAGTGCCTCCAATTGTAAGTCATTCAGTTTGGATATGCTTTCTGTTGATAAATACATTGAATGTACCATCTACTGTACTGTTCATGTATGAAAATACTTGAACATTATGTAATAGTTTTATTAATAATTATGTGTTGAAAACTCCAGGACTTAATACTAGTACCACCCATTATTTTCCGTTGACACCTCATGCTGACATGACACAAATTTGATAGCATGAGGCATCTGTGTGCCAAAGTGTGCAAGAGAGTTGTAGCTTCCTGATGTCTTTATTGGAAACGGTATCTATCACGCTGTCTCAGATAAATCTGTGCACATTTCCGTGTGTGTGTGTGTGTGTGTGTGTGTGTGTGTGTGTGTGTGTGTGTGTGTGTGTGTGTGTGTGTGTGTGTGTGTGTGTGTGTGTGTGTGTGTGTGTGAGGGCAGTGCTCCGAGACAGAAGCAGCAGTGCCTGACAGCGAGGTGATGTCCAAATGAGCTATCGACCGATCGCACTAGGCGAGGGAGCAAGGGAGCAAGGGAGCAAGGGAGCAAGGAAGGGAGCGAAACAGATGTATTCTTCAGTATCTGTGTTTCACTGCATGTTCTACTTTCATTACATGTTTTATAATTTAATGTTGTTATTATTGGCTGCTACTTTATTGCTTGAGACTTTTACAACATTGCTGTAAAAAAAAAAACTGTGCATTATAGAGCTTTTTACTATTAAGTGATGTTATTAGTGGCTGCTCCTCCACTACTTTTATACATTGTCAAAGTCACCATATAATGAAGCCATGATATGAAAAATCTGTGATATAGCACCTAGCAACGCCTTTTATAGTCCGACACAACAACCTTTCCCCAGCACAGGTTCATAAGTAAGCTGCTTTCCACACAGCCTGCAGTTCAGCACCACGGACAGCTCCAGTAACTAAACACAACACAAGCAGGACAGCTCGAGCCAATTCACAACCCGGATGACTGGTGTCAGGATGAAAGAAATGAAGACAGAGGGAGAAGTGTGTGATGGCGGTTAAACTCACTGGGTGTTTGGCTGAGATTCTCCCAGTCACCACGCTGGTCTGGTGCCACGTCGAGGAAACGTAGTTCTGATTGAGAAAGAACCAAGAAAGGGAAATATGAATACATTAAAATGGACAACTCCATGTTATGACATCCACAACTGGACGCCAAAAGGAATACAATGAATACTTCCCTCACATATAAACATGTTTCATTGTGTCAGCTATGTGATGAGTAATGTTTCTCAGCTTATCAACAACAGCTGCGAATCCTCATTGCCGTCATCGCTCTGATTCTGCTTTTGGACCCACGAGCATCAACAATGCAACTGTTGGACGCCCGAGCTGCTCGTACACTGAAGTGACAGTTGGTGCAATAAGTAGGACATGCAAGCAAAGTACTCGCTGCTGTCAAGTGATGAAACCCCTACATGTATTTCATATTAGATTGCTGGGGGGGGGTCAGTCCATAGTATAAAAAGTAGATTACATGACGTTTTTGTGCTTCTATGTGACATGCTTTAATGTTCAAAGAGGACACGAAGGAGGAAATAATTCCACTTATTGCAAAAACAAGTCAGATGGTATAGAAGTCCATAAGAAAATGACTTATCACTTGATTAATTACCTTAGCAAACATTTAACTAAAGAGTTTATGGTTCCAATTGCTTGTTAAAGTCTTCTTCAGTACAGAATGGTATCCATTATTAAATCTTAATCCTATTCTCAGTGAAATAGACTTTAAAGGTCACCTATCATGCTATTTTTAGGCGATAGGTCTCAGTTATATAAAAAATATATAAAAAACATGTCTATGAAGTGTTTTGCTCAAAATACCAAACAGATCACCCATTCTAGCTATGCCTCATATCCCTCTATTTCACTTCCTGTTTCAAAAGTGCTGATTTTATGTATAATGCTTAAAAATGTTTTTGATACAAAATAAAAAAGGAGGGGGCTGAGCTCATGCGGGACCCGGCAGCTACTGTCTAAACTAAATACTGCCGTGATGAAACGCCATATCATGGATTATCATGGATTATTTCTGAAACAGTATGGAGCTCAAAGGCTTTCTCTCTTGCCGGTTATACCACAAGGTGAGTTCCTTTTTATTTCCTGCTTCTTCACACACATGCTCTCCAGTACAGGTGTGTTAGCAATGCTAATGTAAACATGTACCGACCATATTACGCCCAAAACAGTCGGGCATTGTTTCTGATAGCAACGTTTCTGATAGGGCTGTGGGTCCACATTTCCGATATTACGTCATATCGGACGCAAATCTGGGTCAGCTCCGTTGTAGCCCCGTTTTTAGAGATTTGGGTACGGAGCAAAAGAGAGAGGGTTTTATTTTCTGACGCTGTATGAGTTCCCTGACACTGTATAAAAGACATCAAAAAGTGCCTTTTGCATGACAGGTCCCCTTTAAAGAGTTAGGCCATTAAGATTGACATGTCACTATGCCACATTTTGTTCGTTCAAATATGTATTTTTCAGCATTGAATTGAAACAACTACTACTCTTTCCCTCTCATACCACATCATGTTTCATCTCTGGGTTATACGTTTTTAAAAAAAAATCTATTTCCTTTAGTCAGCAGCCCCCTCCTCTAGCTGGGATTGCTGCCATGCTCTGTCCGAACGACCTCCAGATGAAAAAGCAGCTCCAGAGACAGACAGCGTTGAGAGCGCTCACATTGATAAACACAAGCTGCTACTTCCATGCAGAGGCGATAGGGGCCCATGTGGAGAGACAGACAGACACAGAGCTGCATCTTTGCTCTGCCAACTCAGTTCAGCAGTGGCAGAGACATGTCTTCTATTACAGCAAGGTTGTGAAAGATCCTGGTTGTGTTTTTAATGTGATTCAGTTTCAATTGTAGGTATTTTGTTGCTCCATAACTGCTCTAGGCCCACCTTGCTCTTCATGCAGGAGAGGATCCCATCGACAAAAGTGGACTTGATTTTGTGAACCTGGGGAGTACAAGGCAGACAGCTGTTACCTGGAGACCAAGGGTGAGACTTTCAGATGCTCCACTGCATATTGGATATTGTCTTTGCATACCTTGGATATCAAACTGTAACCTTCAAATGTTTTGTGGTAAAAGATCCTCTTTTCTTTGGGCGTACTTGTTTGTATAGCAGATACATTAAAAAGCAATACTAACCTGTCTGTACTCTAGAATGATCTTTGGCAGAGGGTGGAGGTCCTGAAGCTGCAACAGCTGCAACGAAACAGACAGAAAGGAAACAGCATGAGATCAAAAACACTGTTACTGTTATTCAATTGTTGCTCTTTCTGTATTGTTTAATTTATACTCCATCTACGGATATGTACAGATCAAACAATCAGAACTTCGTATCTGTTTGTGTGTGTTTGTTTTTGACCTACTGCGGCTTCTGATGTTGACTGTTGCTGTGTGTTGATGGTCTTTGGGAGTTTCTTGTTTTCGCAGCGCTCGTGGAGGCTCAGCTTCTCAAACAGGACCTTCAAACATTGGAGATCCATTGAGACGTACACACAACAAAGGGAAACACACATACAAGCGTGTGCATACATACAGTTCATGCATAACAACACACAACCACAACGCTCAGATGTACAGATAAAAGTACACACTGCTCGTAGTTGAGTGCTGCTGGTGACCAGGAATATCTGCCCTGCTGCTCGGTGGGCTTCCTGCTCCAAGTGCTTCATCTTAGTCTGACAGAAAGGTAAGGGATAGAGAGAGAAGAAGAGAAACAGAGAGGGGGGAAGAGGGTACAATTTAGACTTGAGTCATGTAGTACACGCAAATGTTTTCCAACGTTTGTTTTAACCAAGGTATCAGGAATTCTGTCTGATGCAAAACTAAAGGGGCCCTAGGGGAACTTTGGGATTGTACAAAAATCTTAATAACACACTACAGGGAAGCATAACAGGGCCTCTTTAAGGCTTCTTGGATACACAGAGTTTGTTGCTTTGAGTGACATACAGGTTCTGTATGCGCAACCAATCACAATCATCTGTGATTATCTAACAACCAAAGCAGAGAAAAACACTGAAAAGTAAAGTTGGTTCAAAAAAGAAACACATCATCAGTTGAGTGGGGATAATGTTGTTTGTGGGGGAAACTTCTGAAGCAATTGGAGTCAGAGAGACACGAGGAGAGCTGGAGCTTTGATGGCAAACACTGACGGTTTATTTGGAGCTTCGGCCGGAGAATTCACAAGACATGTCACAGGGCCACGAGTTGACCACACGGTTGAGATGCCACAATTAATTCTGAAGAACTCTACCCCAGACCCATGTGTTTAGCTAGATCTGAGAGAATAATCAACATTGTGCATAACAAGATAGAATCATAACACCTCTATCAGCGGACGCCAACAGGCAGGAACAGGGAGACAAAACACTGAGAGCACAGCAGCCAAGGTTGCAGGTGCCTGTGCTCAGTCAGGACAGTATGAACTGATAAACTGGGTCAAAGTTATTGTTGGCCAGCTGCCACTCTTCCTCCCAGTGTTTTGTCATCACCATCTGCACTTCCCTATGACCCAGTTTCACAGGGAGAAGAATGTTCACACTCAAGTCTGCAGAACCATAAAATGCTCACATACATACAAGCTCCAGTGTGGTATTGGTGGACATGTTTGTCACTATTGTTCTATAGATTGGTGCAGAGATGATTCCCCAAACCCTGAAATTAATTATAATTTCACCACTTCCAGTTCCCTCGTCTCAAAGTTTTTTGGAATGTGTTTTTGGTTAGATGCCTGAAATAAGGTCTGTGGTTAACACAAGCTGAAGAGATTTCACTTTTTTTTCTATGAGATAAATGACATCAGTAAATACCCCACTGGTGAATGTTGAAGCTTCTATCTTTCTTAAAAAGGCGGTGGCTACCAAGTGACTAAATGAAAATACTAAAAAGCATCACACTGAACGTTAGCCGCCTTTAGCTGATCAGTGGGGAAGCTGTGTGACCATGATGAAGTTTGTTAGTTGCCTAAAAATAGCTTTTTTACTTCTTCCTATTACATTTACGCTTCAAAAATGGTGTTCGTGGTGTTAATATGTGGTGATTGTGAGACTTCCGGTGAGGCACGAGGCTGATGGCAGCAAGATACTGAGCGCTGAACAAAACCCCCCCTTTTTCATATTTATTGCAACTCATTACATTACATTGCATTTAGCTGACGCTTTTATCCAGAGCGACTTACAATAAGTGCGTTCGACCAACAAAGTACAAACTTGAAGAAAACAGAATCATATAAGTACATCAGGTTTCATAGAGCTAAAACATTTCAAGTGCTACTCAACTAGCTTTAGATAAGCAAGTCCTTTATTAGTATATAAGTGCTTTGTTAATAGTTCTATCGCTCGAAAGTGGAGTCGAAAGAGATGAGTTTTCAGTTTGCGCCGGAAGATGTGTAAGCTTTCTGCTGTCCTGATGTCAATGGGGAGCTCATTCCACCATTTTGGAGCCAGGATAGCAAACCCACGTGTTTTTGCTGATGGGAACTTGGGTCCCCCTCGCAGTGCGGGTGCAGCGAGCTGTTTGGCTGATGCAGAGCGGAGTGCACGTGCTGGGGTGTACGGTTTAACCATGTCCTGGATGTAGGAAGGGCCAGATCCATTCGCAGCATGGTACGCAAGTACCATTGTCTTGAAGTGGATTCTATCAGTTACCGGAAGCCAGTGAAGGGAGCGGAGGAGCGGCGTGGTGTGGGAGAATTTAGGAAGGTTGAAGACCAGACGAGCCGCTGCATTCTGGATGAGCTGCAGAGGTCGGATGGCACATGCAGGCAGACCAGCCAGGAGGGAGTTGCAGTAGTCTAGGCGTGAGATGACGAAAGCCTGGACCAGAACCTGCTCTGATTTCTGGGTCAGCTGGGGACATGTTAACCTGATGTTGTAAAGAGTTATCTTGCAGCAGCTGGTTTGTAGCAAGCTATGGTTTTACAGTGAAGGAAGTTTTGTTATACTAGGGTTCACAGCCCAGTTCTTGCAGCTGTGTCAGGGAGAACAATAGAGCGGTGCCGATGTGATTTGTTTAGGTCAGAGTGGGGACAAATCTTTTCCGGAAGGAAAAGACCAGGTTCAGTCGTTGTCAAGGTTGAGCTTGATGGTGGTGAGCAGACCATCCACTGAGAGATGTCAGCTAGATCAAGCAGAGATGCGTGGCGACGACCTGGGTCTCTGAGCGGGGGGAAAGGCAGGAGATTTAATTGGGTGTCGTCAGCGTAGCAGTGGTATGATAAACCAATGCGAGGCTGAGAAATGACTGATCCGACGGGAGTTTGCTTCCACAGTTCCTCACGTGAGCAGCAGGAGGGCAGTTTCTGTTTGAGTGACCTTGCCTTGAAACCAGACTGGTGGCGGATCCATAAGGTTGTTTCTGAGGAGGATAACAGGGAGTTGTTAAAGACAGCGCGTTCGAAAGTGTTTTAGACAGGAACGGGAGGAGGAGACAGGCATGTGGTTTATACATCAGGACGGGTTGGCGAGTGGTTCTTTAGGACGAGGGTTTACTCTTGCCTCCTTGAGACTGTTTGGAATAATGTGACCAGACAGTTAGAGAAGTGTTGATGAATATGCTTGCGTGAGAAACGGTATGTTCAGGAGCGATTAGTTGAAGGATTGTTGTGTGTGATGTGTGTTGTTTAGGACGGCAGTGTTGTTGGTAATGAGGTAATAACCTCACTTGGACGGACTGAGGGAGGGGAGAAGGAGGTCAGTGTGTGGGGTGAAAGGTGGGGTCTGGTTGCCCAGCGGTGAGAGTAAAGGTGAGTCAGAAAGAAGAGCGATATCATCACCTTTTTTTCAAGTGGTTAACAAAGTTGCTTGACAGAAGGGAGGAGGGGGAAGGGGCTTATCGGGGGTCCAGGAGGCGGTGGAAAGATGAAAATAGTTTTTGGTGTTTGGAATAGGAAGATTGGATCTTATTTGAAGAAATGCTTTTTGCCTGAGGAGATCGACGCATGAGAAAAGACGGAAAGGAGAGCTTGATAGGTTAGGAGTCGTCATGGCTGTTTGGATTTCCACCGCATTTCCGCTCTGCTGCCCGAAGGATGGTTCTATTAGCACGCAGTTTGTTCGGGTTGTGTCTATTTTTATGTCAGAGTCAGTGCATAGTGGGTTATGACGTGTTTTTGTTCTGTTTCCGTTCTCGAGTTTGTGAGAGATCATGAGTGAGTCCTCAGTGATAGGTAGAGGGTTATGATGGGGTAGGGTCTGTCCTAGCTCAGAGTTTGTTTGAGGCTGGAGTTGGAACGAGTCAGAGGAATGGGAGCTGTTAGTGCTACCAATGATTGTGCTTAAATGGTATGTTGGTGGAAGTGGAACATGTAGGTTTTTGTTGTGGTGGTTTATCTTATGAGGTTTATCAGATGAGGTTAGAAATAGTAGTCAGTTCCTGAGAATTTATGAGATCATATGT